GCTAAAAGCCTATATCCTTTCCTCTTTTCCCTTCCAGTCTTTCTATATAGGTTGTAGTATTTCCCACTTGGATTTTTGACACACATTTGGCTAACAACTCTCCACTGCCCCTTGAAAGCAAGGTAGCCACTCACTGGTGTATACCAAGTTAATAATTTCTAAGGCAAATTAAAGTTCAGGAAACATGACTTTGTGCCACATTACATTTTAATTAAGACTTCAGAGCGATACAAAGGCAGCTTGGCATGCAGTTGACTATTTTAATTTTTAAAAAAAATGTAGAGAAAGAGCAACAAGATATTTTGGATGGTGTCGAATCGGGCTGTTGTGGAAGGGCAGTTGTCTCGTTCCATCCCTGCCAGCGCTGCGATTGTGCTCCCCTGAAACACTCCACCGGGCTCCCTTTCGCCTGCCTGGGAAGCCAGGTTAGTACCTCTGCCTCGGCCATCTTCTTCAGCTGCATACTTCTCTCTGCAAAGCAGAAATACAGAAGCCGAAAGCTGTAGTGACAACCTTGCTGCAGAACAAACTTGTGCATTTGGAAACGCAGGTGGCTTCAGTCACAGATGATTTTTGTAAGAGGGGTAGATTGTGTCTGATAATTTCATAGGCCTTAGTCTGTTTACTGGGATCCACAATGCACCTTAGCAAAAAGAAATGTCTTTTTGGAGGTGAGACAACTACGTTTCCTGGGTGTTTTCAGCGTGTGTTACCCAGCTGGAAACATCTGCTCATGCTTTTGGTACCGCTTCATCGATTTTTAGTTATAAAGGGTATTTCTGACTGCGTCGCTAGGCTGTTTACTCATGTTCTTCCCTACTCAGAGAAAGGTTTGCACCACTGAGATTACAGCATGCCATCAGCGTGACTTTTTCAGAAAACCAGAAATGTTTTGTAACACTGCAGCCACTTGACTCACACTCTTCTTGTTCCTTTTTCCTATGAAAACTCCAACAACAACAGCAACAACAACAGCTAAACTTTCGAGACGGATGGTGCAAGCTGCTGGTTAGTTATAGGGCTTATATCGTTAGCGTGGGCTGTCTGCCGCCGACGTCTTTGCCTGCTCTGCAGTGCAGGCAGGGGCTAGCGCCAGCCAAGTTCTGCCCGTCCCTTAGTGACTGCTTTCTGCCTCTGCCCTCTTTTGTTGGGAACGGACAGAGGAAACTTTCCCACAAGTCACTGTGAAAGAACTGGAAATTGCACTGTATTGAAATTCACTGCAGCATAAAAAAGAAAAAAATACAAATCCCCAAAGCAAGGGAGGGTGTGCAAAGCCCACAGGGAACTGCTCAGGCCAGCCCGAGTGCCGGCTGCAGCCGTGCTTCTGCGGGCGGCAGAGATAAAGAAGAGTTGTGGAATCAGGCTACAGTCTGCAGCGCCCTTGTGTAGAAACCTCACGTGGATCTGGAACGGTTGCACTTGTTTCAGAGCAAGCTTTGCCTGGGTGAGTGACAGAAGATAAAGCGCTCTCTCCAGTAAACTCTCTCAATTCTGGACTATATGAAAAGACAAGTTACATTTTATTTCAGCTGCAGAGGTGCTCAAGAAATAGATTTATTTTCTGAAACCAATGCCACCAGCATAAATTAGAACAAAGCTTAGAACAATGAGATACTGGCCCTAACTGGGTATCATAAAATAACATAACTAAAATGAAAGTGACAATAAAAGCATAAAAACAAGTACCTGCCAGTTTTAAATACCTCTTTGCTTAACTGGGTTTGTAAATTTCTGCCTTCCTTTATTGTCTTTTTCTTTATTCTCTAGCCGTTAAATCATGGCTATAATGCTGTGGAGACCTTAATAGGAGCAGAAAGAAAATACAAAACTATACTTGAAAATATCCAGATGTTTGTGTCAAAGTTCCCTTTCAAAAAATTGAGAAATGGATTCAAAGAGGGACTTCTAACATTGAAAAGGTCCTCTGAAATGAAGACCTCAGGGTGCAGCTAGGGTGCTAGCGGACACGTCAAAGTGTAGCTGGACACTTCATACCCACTCTTTTTTTGGAAAGCGGTACATGGGTTTTAAATTTTGCACATGCCAAAAGCTTCTTAAGTTGTTTGTAACTTGTGTAAAATTCTAAAACAGATGATGCCTGTATTATATGGTAGCACTGACTGTGTTTGGAAATATGCTTCCTCCTGGGGACTCAGCTTTACTCTGGGCAAAATGCACAGCTGAAGACTGCCCTGCTGAAAGGAGAGTGTCTGGTCAGCAAAGTCACCTTGTTATCCAACCGCTAGCGAAACACAGCATTATTCTGTGATGCAGGTAGTCCCATGCAGTGCCTTCGCCTAGTCTAGTGCAGGATTTGCCCATGAAATCCTTCACCCATGATCTTGCAAGACTCCTACCATTGAAACCTAGATGAGACTCCATGAGATGTGTCTTTGTCTCAATGCAGGCTGGATAAAGGTGGGATGAACCCCCAAAAGTACAACTTCAGGATTTGTTTTTGGGGAAAGCCTGTGCTTACCTCAGCGCTACCAACTCCACTTTCCCTTTGGTGGTTAAATAATAAGGGCTCTGTCCCAGCTTTGCAAGGTCCGAGTGCTCCCAAGCTCTGGCAGCAGCTGTGCATCCCCACCACCACCCTCTTCTGCCCCCAAAACTCTCTGTTTTAACACAGAAAACCTAGGCGAT